GCAGACTGAAAAAAGGAGCACGGCAGAAAATGTTCATCTCGCTAGAGACATCCTCAAACAATGAGATGTTCGCAACATCGCCTCGACATCGTTCTCGAAGTGCTTCAAGATGATGAAATGAGAGCCCCAAAAGGAGCCCAAGATGGCTCCAACAGCGCCCTGGAGACTGCCGAAAATGACGATTTCGCTGGGGACATCCTCAAAGCATGAACAACAGCAACAGCATCGTTTAGAAAACTGCTGTTCAAACATCGCCTTGGAATCGCTCCTGAAAAGGCGTCCTGATGGTCTAAGTCAGCCTTCTAAAATTAACGATGTTGCTAGGGACATCCTCAAACAAATAACATGTCTAACATCGCACTGTAATGATTTGGAAGGGCATCAAGGCGGCCCCAAAGGGCCCCAAACGAGCCCCAATATAACCCCCAGGATGGCCCTCGAGACGACCCCAACATGTGATTTCGCCTGGGACATCCTCATTACATTGATCTGTTCGTAACATCGATGTTATCAAACATAAGCGTTTCGCCTGAGACGTCCCCCAACAATGGGAAGAAGTCGCGAATTTGACATATGTTCAACAAGCTGTGTATCGCCTGAGACATCCTCACAACAATGATATGTTGGAGAGGCGGTTCTACTACCTCTCATGTTAAAATTGGCGCTCTCTCTGCAGACATCCTTAGAGAATCGGACGGAGCACGGCGGACGGAAAAAAAGAGCACGGCAGAGACTGAGTATGTTTGCCGTGCTCCTTCGATTTTGGGGTCTATTTGCCGTGCTCTTTGGCGCTTCGGGTATATTCTGCTGTGCTCGTGGTCTTCTTCGGCCGTACTCCTTGGATCGTCGGGCCTGTTCTGCCGTGTTCCTGGTCTTTGTCTGTCGTCCTCGTTAGCTCTTGGGGTCTATTCTGCCGTGATCCTGGCCTTTGCCTGCCGCTCTCCTTCGCTTTTGGGGCCTATTCTGCCGTGCTCCTGAGCTCTTAGGGTTTATTATGCCGTGTTCCTGGTATGTTTCTGCCTTGCTCCTCCGCTCTGGGGGCCTCTTCTGCCATGCTCCTTAGCTCTTGGGGTCTATTCTGCCGTGCTCCTGTTTTTTTTTCTGCCGTGCTCCTTCGCTCATGGGGCCTATTCTGCCGTGCTCCTGTTTTTTTGTTTTGCCGTGCTCCTTCGCTCTTCGGGCCTATTCTGCCGGGGTCCTGGTCTTTTTCTGCCTCGCTTTTTCGCTCTTGGGGTCTATTTTGCCGTGCCTCTTCACTCTTGGGGGCTATCATGCCGTGCTCCTGGTCTTTTTCTGCCGTGCTCTTTGGGTCTTGGGGCCTATTTTGCCGTGCTTCGGTCTTTCTCTGCCGTGCTCCTTAGCTCTTGGGGTCTACTCTGTGAAAACGCGCCAGTGGATCCCCCTGAATACGCAAAACGGGTGTGTGTGTGTGTGCGTGCTCGCAGAACCCCCCTCCCTTCCTTCAAAGGGGGGGGGAGATTTTCGCCCCCCCCCCATCCCTTCCATGGTGTTGGAAGGGGGGGGGGGGGTCGACCTCCCCCCCTTGCGCCGAACAGGGGGCAGGGGAGAGGGCCTGTCCCGCAAGGGGGGGGCGTGTGGCCTCGGAGTGGGAGTAGAGAGTTGTGAGTAGTGAGTAGTGAATCGTGAGTCATGAGTAGAGGAGTGAGAAGTGAGTAGTGAGGAGTGAGGAGTAAATAGTGCGCAGTAAGTAGTGGGTAGTGAGTAGTGAGTAGTGGGTAGTGGGGAGTGGGTAGTGAGTAGTGAGTAGCGAGTAGGGAGTAGCGAGTACTGAATAGTGAGTCGCGAATAGGGCATTGTCAATAGTAAGTAGTGGGGAGGGAGTAGTCAGTAGTGAGTTGCGAGTGAGGAATAGCGAGTAGTGATCAGTGGGTAGTGAGTAGTACGTAGGGGGTAGTGTAGTGAGTGGTGAGTAGTGAGAGGGGGGAAGTGGGTATTGAGTAGTGGGTAGTGGGTAGCGCGCAGGGAGTAGCGAGTAGTGAGTAGTGAGTAGTGAGTAGTACGTCGTGAGTAGTGAGTAGTGAGTACTGAATAGTGAGTAGTGAGTAGCGACTTGTGATTAGTGACTAGTTAGTAGGGGGTAGTGAGTAGTGCGTAGTGGGTACTGAATATTGCGTAGTGGGTAGGGAGTAGGGGGTAGGAGTAGCGAGTAGTGAGTAGTGAGCAGTGAGTACTGTGGAGGGAGTAGCGAGCAGCGGATAGTGAGTAGTGAGTTGTGGACAATGAGTTGGGAGTAGCGAAATACTGTGCGTACTCGATAGTGGGTAGTGGTTAGTGGGTAGTGAGTAGTGCTGAGTGAGTAGTGAGTAGTGGGCAGGGATTAGTGGTTAGTGGGTAGTGTGTAGTGAGTATTGACTACTGGGTAGTGAGTAGAGAGTAGTGAGTTGGGAGTTGGGAGTAGTGCGTAGGGAGTAGTGAGTAGTGAGTAGTGGGTAGTGGGGAGTGGGTAGTGAGTAGTGAGTAGCGAGTAGGGAGTAGCGAGTACTGAATAGTGAGTCGCGAATAGGGCATTGTCAATAGTAAGTAGTGGGGAGGGAGTAGTCAGTAGTGAGTTGCGAGTGAGGAATAGCGAGTAGTGATCAGTGGGTAGTGAGTAGTGCGTAGGGGGTAGTGTAGTGAGTGGTGAGTAGTGAGAAGGGGGAAGTGGGTATTGAGTAGTGGGTAGTGGGTAGTGGGTAGCGCGTAGGGAGTAGCGAGTAGTGAGTAGTGAGTAATGAGTAGTACGTCGTGAGTAGTGAGTAGTGAGTGTTGAATAGTGAGTAGTGAGTAGCGACTTGTGACTAGTGACTAGTTAGTAGGGGGTAGTGAGTAGTGCGTAGTGGGTACTGAATATTGCGTAGCGGGTAGGGAGTAGGGGGTAGGAGTAGCGAGTAGTGAGTAGTGAGTAGTGAGCAGTGAGTACTGTGGAGGGAGTGGGGAGTAGCGAGTAGCGAGCAGCGGATAGTGAGTAGTGAGTTTGAGTATTGACTACTGGGTAGTGAGTAGGGAGTAGTGAGTTGGGAGTTGGGAGTAGTGCGTAGGGAGTAGTGAGAAGTGAGTAGCGGGGGCGGTGTGGGTAGTGAGCAGTGGGTAGTTAATAGTGCGTATTGGGTAGCGAGTAGGGTGTTGGGGGTAGCGAGTAGAGAGTAGTGAGTAGTGAGTACTGTGTAGGGAGTAGCGAGTAGTGGATAGTGACTAGTGAGTTGTGGGCAGTCAGTTGTGAGTAGTAAAATGTGAGTAGTAAGTAGTGAGTAGTGTTTAGTGGTTAGTGGGTATTGAATGTGATTTGTGATTAGTGAGTTGTGGGTAGTGAGTTGTGTTTAGTGATTAGTGGCTAGTGGGTAGTGGGTAGTGGGTAGTGAGTAGTGAGTAGCTAGTAGTGAGTAGTGAGTAGTGAGAAGGGAGAAATGGGTATTGAGTAGTGGGTAGTGGGTAGTGAGTAGTGGGTATCGAGTAGTGAATCGTGAGTAGTGGGTAGTGAGTAGTGAGAAGTGAGTAGTGAGCAGCGAGTAGTGGGTAGTGGGTAGTGAGCAGTGCGTAATGAGTATTGAGTGCTGTTGGGGGCTAGGGCTAGGGTTTGGGGATAGGCGTATGGGGTTAGGGGTTAGGGTTAGTGTTAGGGGTGGCACGGGTCGGGTTCCGGAGTTCGGGGGCGCCGTGGCGAAAGGGGGGGAGGGGGGGTGGTCGATTTTGGCCCCCCACTTTTGAAAATGGGGGGGGAGGGGGGTGTCCCCGACGACGGATCGGGAAAAGGGGGGAGGGGGGAGGGGGTCTCCCCGACGACCGATCGGGAAAGGGGGGGGGGTCCCCGACGACGGATCGGGGAAAGGTGGGGGGGGAGGGGGTCCCCCCCCGCACCCCTTTTGGGGGATCCAGCGGCGCACCCTCCTGCTCTGCCGTGCTCCTGGTCTTTTCCTGCCGTGCTCGGCAGCTGTTGGGGTCTATTCTGCCGTGTTTCTGGTCTTCTTCTGCCGTGCTCCTTCGCTATTCGGGCCTATTCTGCCGTGCTCCTGGTCTTTTTCTGCCGTGCTCCGCTCTTGGGGTCTATTCTGCCGTGCTCCTGGTCTTTTTCTGCCGTACTCCTGCGCACTTGGGGCATATTCTGCCGTGTTCCTTGTCTCTTGGGTTTTATTCTGCCGTGCTCCTGGTCTTTTTCTGCCGTGCTCCTTCGCTTTGGTGTTTATTCTGACGTAATCCTTAGCTCCTGGGGTCTGTTCTGCCGTGCTCCTGGCCTTTTTCTGCCGTGCTTCCTCGCACTTGGGGCCTATTCTGCCGTGTTTCTGGTCATTTTCTGCCGTTCTCCTTAGCTTTTGGGTTCTATTCTGCTGTGCTCCTGGTCTTTCTCTGCCGTGTTCGTTCGCACTTGGGGCATATTCAGCCCTGCTCCTTAGCTCCTGGGGTCTATTCTGCCGTGCTCCTAGTCTTTTTCTGCCGTGCTCTTTCGCTCTTGGGGCCTATTCTGCCGTGCTCCTGGTCTTTTTCTGCCTGCTTCTTAGCTCTTAGGGTCTATTCTGCCGTGTTCCTGTTTTTTTTTCTGCCGTGCTCCTTCGCTTTGGTGTCTATTCTGCCGTACTCCTTAGCTCTTGGGTTCTATTCTGCCGTGGTCCTGGTCTTTTTCTGCCGTGCTCCTTCGCTCTTGGGGCCTATTCTGCCGTGCTCCTGATCTTTTCCTGCCGTGCGCGCCCAGAAGCTCCGCCAAAACGACCACCGCGACGATCCGCACGGCAGAATACAGGAATACGGCAGAACATACAGAGCACACAGAGGCACGGCAGAACACAGAAGCACGGCAGAACAGGAGCACGGCAGAACACACAGGAGCACAGCACAACACACCCCGCGCGTACGCCGACACGCGCGCCACGGCATACCTGCGCGGCGTAACAACAGAGCATATTCCACATGCTTGGTGGACTGAAGCGACGCTTCCCGTTCTTGTCTGGTCAGGTTCTCCAAAACAGCGATTTCGCCGGAGACATCCTCTCAACATCGAGATCTTGAAGGTTTTCGTGTAAGACGTTTTATTTAAACATTGAGCGTTTCGCTCGCTCCTGGGTTGATACTTGTCCTTCCAATCCTGCTTGTCTCCTACGGCGTGATATAGGCCACCCTACGCCGATAGAAGAACTTGCTGAATGTGGGTGCCGTCGTGGCCAGCTCTGCTATGTCCAGGGCCCCATTCTTTCAATACCTCCACCCTACTCCCTCCTTTTCGCCCTCCTCTGGCTAATTCATACAGCGCTGCTGGGGGGTCACCCAGGTGCTGTATGTCTTTGAGCTTCGCCGAGCATAGGATTTCTTCATTATCATATCTTCTCTCCTCCTTGTCGCTTCAGGCTCAGTGAAGCTGTCTTCCTCTAAAATCGGAGCTGGATCATCATTGGCTCCTGGGTTGATATTTATTATTTCAATCCCGCTTGTCTCCTACGGCGTGATATAGGCCACCCTACGCCGATAGAAGAACTTGCTGAATATGGGTGCCGTCCAGACCAGCTCTGCTAGGTGGAAGGCCCCATTCTTCCAATAGCTCCACCCTGCTCCCTCCTTTTCGCCCTCCTCATCCTCCTTCTTCCTCTTCATTTTGCCGTACAGCGGCTTGTCGAGTTGCGCGTGTGCTCATCCAGAATCAGAGACCGTTATCGGAGACACGGCCCGCGCTATAGGCGCTACGCACGTCCATCGTCGCTCGGTGGCGATGCCAGGAAGCAGAGAGCGAGACCTCGCATCACGGTTCTAGCCCACCCCTCTGAAAGCACCCGCTCCAGCTTTTGTGCCTTGCATTTGGCAAGCGTGCACCAGGCCGGCCTGCATGGAGTGTAGGTCTACCGGTCTGCAACACTTTCGCATTTCCTGCCAATATGTTTTCATGGAATCCGTGAGCCAATCATGCTCATGTCGATTCCTTGCCGATGCGCCGTTGCCTGGCGCCTGGCTTGACTGGGGGACCGGGCCCGGGGGCCCCGGGGCCGCGACCCCGACCACGAATGGGAGGCCCGGGGGCCCGGCCCGCTCCTGGGGGGCCCCAGATCGGCCTCCAGAGCGCTCAGACTGCCGTCCAGGCGCTTCAGGAGGGCCCCCAATCGCCCCACAGACGGCCTGCAGGGGTGTGAAACGGCCCAGGAGAGCTTCAAGACGCTTGAAGAGGCGCCCCAGACAGCCACAGGGAGCTCCAGGAGACCCCCGAGGACGCCACCGAGAAGCCCAAAACTTCAAAAACCCGATCGAAGGGAAATCGATGATTTTGGCCTCCTCGCCTTGTCGCCTCCGATGGTCTCTTCAAGCAGATAGCCCCACAGAGGCTCCCAGGAGGCTCCAAAACGCCCCCCAAAAGCTCCCAAGAAGCTCTAAGAAGCCCCAAGAGGCTCCCAAGAGGCCCCCAAGAGGCCCCAAGAGACCCCCAATGGCCCCCAAGAGAAGCCCGAGAGGGCCCCAAGATCGGCCCAAGAGGGGAACCCGAGCTGCCTTTTCGAGCGCTCGGCCCCAAGATCGCCTTCGAGGTCGCCGACAAGCTCCCAAGAGGCCCCCAAGGGGCCCCAGGACGCCTCCGGGAAGGCACTACGAGACCCCCACGAGGCCCCCAACTGGGCTCTGAGAGATTGCCAAAGAGACCCTATGATACGCCCATGAGGCTTGTGGCCCACAACCCAGGCACATTCCCCTGATCGGCCCCAGACCGCCGTTCAGGCGACTCGGGTAGGCCCCGAATCGCCCCAAAGATGGTTTCGAGGAGTCTCCAACGGCCCCGAGAGGCAAGCATGTACGTGTGCAATGGTGTGTGCTTATATATGTGTGCATGCAAAGTTCGGTGTCCGCTCCCTTCTTCTCCCTCAAAAAAATGTGTACATGCAAAAGGCGAGAGACAACACTTAGCCGGGGGATGGGCTCAACCCTAATCATGCAGTTGCGTGTAGCGCAGGGCGCGGCCCTTTCTTCTTGCCCCAAAGACGTCCATGACTGCCACTGCCGCTGCTCGAGGTGTGGTGGCGGGTGCTTCGAGCTCGGGGAGGGATCTGACAAACTCGCTGGCACGGCCAGCCAACAGGCGCCTTTCTGCCTGCCCTTCTGCTGGCTCGGCCAGCCTCCGTGCGCTAGTACCTGCCGCGTAAAGCCTGGTGCCCGCCGCTGCGGCCACTGGGTGTGAAGCGTCCCGTGCACTGTACCCACGGGAGATGCGGGTGGCGTATCGGTTTGGGCGTCCTTGCGGTCGCCTATTCGAGCGGGAGGATTGGCACGTCTTTGTTCATCCTCTTGCCATCCACCATTCATGAGCACGGTGCCAGTCTGTGACGCGCACCTCTGCTAGCTCGCTCGCTCCCCAAAAGAAGTTCCTGCGAGGTCCCCACGTCGTCGTCGTCACCGTCTGTGGTCCGTCGTCCGTCGTCGTCGAGAGCCGCCGAGCGCCACCGAAGGCTGGCGAAGCAGAGAAAGGAGAGGAGGACGAGGAGGGAAGCAGTCGGATGAGGAGGCAAAAAGGAGGAGGGGGAGGAGGACGAGGAGGGGAAAGGAAGAGAACGTTCGGCAGGAGGAGTGTCGGTGTTGAAACCAACGCCTCGCTCAAGACGTCCTCGCAATCTGATCTGAAAGCGAAGGAGTCTGGACAACCAAACAGGCAAAACGCTTGAGACATCCCAAAACTCTAGGCGCGAACGGGCCTGTTCAATACCCCCTGGCGGCCGGCCTTGGGGTGCTGAAAGCAGCGCCTCGCTCGATGCACTCGCAAATTGACTGTGAGAAGAACCTGAGTGTGAGTGGTCTGTGTGAATGACTCTGAGTGTGGGTGAGTCTGAGTGTGAGCGATTCTGAATGTGTATGCGTAGGGGCGTGAGTGAGTCTGAATATGCTCAAGCCCTGGCAATCTGCTCTGAAAGCATCGAACTCTGGGGGAATGGGCAAACACAGGCAAACCGCCTGAGACATCCCCCAACATGAAACCTGAGTATGAGTGCGTATCTATCATATGCGGGCCCACGAGGGGCAGCTCCAACTCACATTTCGAGCCCTCCGCCCCAAGTCGAACCCCGAGACCGCCAGCAGGCCCCCAAGAGGCCCTCAAGAGGGCCAAAAGAGGCCCCAAGAGGCCCCCAAACAGTACTTGGGACTAGTGCGCCTGGATTCTAGATTGCTGTGCCGAACAGCTCTGGAGCTTATCTACAGCTTGACTTGCATTAAGGAAATCATCCTCATCTCTTGAAAAATTAACAGGGTACGAATAGTTTGTTGGTCCTAGCTCTGGTAGCAGACCGAGTTCGGACATCTAGCTACTTGAGACTAGCGTGCCTTATGATTCTAGATATACTAGGTGTGCCTGTCAGCTCTGTAGCTCTTCTACAGCTCGAGTTGAATTCAGAAAATCGACAGCACCTGCCAAGATGACATTGAACAGCCGATCCCGCCTGAAGGCATTTTGACAGGAACATGGCACGGGAACGCACCCCAGTTGCGCAAGGAAGCGCACGTGCCACTCGTTTTCCCAGTCCGCCCGCACCATGAGAGAGAAGAGTACTGGCTGCAATTGGAGGCTGTTCAGCCCCACCTCCTCCTCCTCCTCCTCCTCCTCCTCCTCCTCCTCCTCCTCCTCCGCCTGCCAGTTCTAGAACTGGCGCACTGGATTGTCTGCCGCGCGAAGATCAGCCCAGCCGAGCACCCAGGCCAAGGTGTGTCGAGCAGCACTGCAACGTCGTTTGGGAAATAGACTTTCATGTCTGCTGAATGGACGGTAGTCTGTTGCGTGCGGCTGTGCGTAATTGTCTTTATTTCCCTACCTAGGCTCCGCCTAGAAGGGTTCTTGCTCTCTTTCTTAAAGGGGCAGGGCAGTGGGGCTCGCCCCGGGCGGTTCCCCCGGTATCCGCCCCGCGGTTCCCCCAGTTACGTCCCCGTAGTTTCACGTTGTTTATCTCATCTTAGCTTAGCTTATTTCATCTTAGCTTAGCTTAGCTTCATCTTAGCTCAGGTTTATCTTAGCTTAGACTACCTTCATAATAGCTTCGCTGAGCTTTAGCATAGCAGAGCACAGCATAGCGTAGCATAGCATAGCGCAGCACAGCATATCATAGCATAGCCCAGCATAGCATAGCATAGCATAGCATAGCATAGCGCAGCACAGCACAGCATAGCACAGCGCAGCATAGCATAGCAGTGCATAGCATAGCAGAGCATAGCATAGCATAGCGCTGCTTAGTATAGCATAGCTTAGCATAGCATAGCACAGCGCAGCATGACATAGCTTAGCATAGCATAGCATAGCGTAGCATAGTATATAATAGCATAGTATAGCGCAGCATAGCATAGCATAGCATAGCATAGCATAGCAACTAATGCTGCTTGCCTAGGGGCTCCAACTTCTAGGTAGGGTCGCACTGGGGTAATCCTCCACCTCCTCCATCCCCCGTTCGACCACCTTCCACCACCTTCTCCCTCCTCCTCCTCCTCCTCCTCCTCCTCCTCCTCCTCCTCCTCCTCCTCCTCCTCATCCCTCCTCCTCCTCCTCCTCCTCCTCCTCCTCCTCCTCCCCCTCCTCCTCCCCCTCCTCATTCACTTCATTATGCGTCCTCCTTATCATCTTCCGGAGCGCGCGGAGCTGCACCAGCACGGGCGGGACGAAGAAACGACGAGAATCAAATCCTACTCTCCTCCCCCCCTCCCCCTCCTCCTCCCCCTACAACCCCTCCTCCTCCTCCTCCTCCTCCTCCTCCTCCTCCTCCTCCTCCTCCTCCTCCTCCTCCTCCTCCTCCTCCTCCTCCATCCTCCTCCTCCTCCTCGTCTCCTCCTCCTCCTCCTCCTCCTCCTCCTCCTCCTCCTCCCCCTCCTCCTCCTCCTCCTCCTCCGCCTCCGCCCCTCCGCCTCCGCATCCGCCTCCGCCTCCTCCGCCTCCTCCTCCTCCTCCTCCGCCTCCTTCCTCCTCCTCCTCCTCCTCCTCCTCCTCCTCCTCCTCCTCCTCCTCCTCCTCCGCCTCCGCCTCCTCCGCCTCCTCCTCTCCTCCTCCTCCTCCTCCTCCTCCTCCTCCTCCTTCTCCCCTCCTCCTCCTTCCTCCTCCTCCGCCTCCTCCTCCTCCCCTCCTCCTCCTCCTCCTCCTCCTCCTCCTCCTCTCCCCTCCCCCTCCCCCTCGCCCCTCCCCCTCCCCCTCCCCTCCCCCTCCCCCTCCTCCTCCCCCTCCTCCTCCTCATCCTCATCCTCCTCATTAATTTCCTTCTGCTTCCTCCTTCTCATCACCCCCCCCCCTTATTTCAAACCACCCTCTGTCCCCTCCTCCCTCTCAAACTGCTCCTCCCTCGCGGCCGGAAACCCTGGAGGATTGGAGACGGGGATGGAAGAGGAGGAGGAGGAGGAGGAGGAGGAGGAGGAGGAGGAGGAGGAGAGGAGGAGGAGGAGGGGGAGGGGGAGGGGGAGGGGAGGGGGAGGGGGAGGCGGAGGAAGGGGAAGGAAAGGACGAAGGAGGGAGGATCAGGAAGGCGGAGGATGAGGCAGAAGAATGATGCTTCTAATGGCGGAAGAACGGGAAAGAGAATAATGAGAAGGAGGAGGAGGAGCCATAGGAGGAGGGATGGGAGGGGGAGGGGGAGGGGAGGTGGAAGATGCGGCGAGGCGGAGGAAGAGGAGAGGAGGAGGATAGGCGGAAGGAGCATGATGATGAGGAAGCTGGGGGAGTGGGAGGGGACGAGCAGGAAGAGGAGGAAGGCCGTTAGGAGAAGGAAGGATGAAGGGGGAAAGAGGGGGGGGGGGAGGACGACGGCGGAGGTCAAGGAGGAAGGATGGGTGACGACTGAGGGGAGGGGGAGGAGGAGGAGGAAGACGAGGAGGACGAGGAGGAGGAGGAAGAGGAGGAGGAGGAGGAGGAAGAAGAAGAAGAAGAAAAAGAAGAGGACGAGGAGGAGGAGGAGGAGGAGGAGGAGGAGGAGGCGGAGGCTGAGGATGAGGAGGACGAAGCGGAGGAGGAGGCGGAGGATGGAGGAGGATGGAAGAGGACGGAGGAGGATGGAGGATGCGGGGTGAGGGATGAGGGGTAAGGAGGAATAGGAGGAGGAGCGAGGACGCCGCCCTGCCACTTGCCCCCTCGCCCCTGCGACCCCGTGCACCCCAGACGTCCTCCGACCTGGTTGCGTTCCGTCCGCGGCCTCTCAGCTCCCGACCACGCCCTGGGAGGGCAGTGTCGCACCCCGGGCCCGCTGTTGGGCGGCCCCCGGGACTCGTCGACGGGCCCCAGACGCCGACATCGAGAGGAGGCGCCCAGATCTTCTGGGCCGGTGCGGCGCCAGTCCTGAGCAGACTCCTTACTCCAGATTTCGTAATACAAGGGAGGGGGTCTGGACCCTCCAAGACAAGCCATTTCAGACCTCCCCCATGGGAGAACCCCTCCAAAACATCGTCCCCAGACCCCCCAGGCCCTCCAAGATAGCCTGGAAGAGACCCCCCCCCCGAAATGAGACCCCCTCCCTTTATTACGAAATCTGGAGTACGGGTTGATCTCAGTGCCCCGATGAGGATATGCCGCGAGGCTAACTACAGTCAACCCGCATGGTAAGGATGGGCAATTCTCCCCTAGGTTTGCATCCTTCCTCTTCGGCACATCCTTGGCCGCTTTCGCTGGCCGTGCCCCGCTAGCAAAGTGTCGACATGGCCCTCCAAGGCCCTTGCATCCTCATCGCGCGTCCTGATTATACGGGTTGACTGTGGTGCCCTCGTTGGTCCTGGTTGGCTGCCGGTCGCTCGCCTGGGAGAGGGTGTGTTCATCAATAGGGACCAGTGATGAACCCCTCCCCGAAGGGGAAGAGAGGCAAGATGGAAGAGGAAGCCCCTTAATTCACTCACGCCCCAAAGGGCGGGTGGCATCCCTCCTCCCTGTAGGCTCGAGCGCGCGCTGGCCCTTCTCGCGCGTCCTTCTTACGCGGTTTAACTGTAAGCGCCTGGAGGAGGAGGAGGAGGAGGAGGAGGAGGAGGAGGAGGAGGGGGAGGACAAGGAGGACAAGGAGGACAAGGAGGACGAGGAGGAGGAGGAGGATGAAGAGGAGCAGGAGGAGCAGGAGCAGGAGCAGAAGGAAGAAAGAGAAGAAGAGGGGGAGGAGGAGGAGGAGGAGGAGGAGGAGGAGGAGGAGGAGGAGGAGGATGAGGAGAGGAAGGAGGAGGAGAGGAAGAGGAAGAGGAGAGGCAGGAGGAGGAGAAGGAGTGAGAGGATGACGAACGAGACGAGGACCGGGGACGAGCAGACGAGGACGAGACGGGACGAGGGGAGGAGGAGAGGAGGAGGAGGAGGAGAAGGAGGAGATGAGGAGGAGGAGGAGGAGCTGTAAGCGCCTGCTTCGAAGAAACCCGACCGCCCTCGGAGATCCGGGTCCGCGCCCTCGTGCGGCGTGCGCCGCCGTCGTCGCTCGACGCCCCTCGGCGAGCGGCACGCG